CTCAGCGACCAGCGACTGTTTCACTCGCGCCTGAATCTTGCGCAGATCTTCACCGACGCGGAGTTGCGTCGGCTGGTTTGCCGCTTCTATCGAGTCTTCTACCTGCTGCACCGCGGCTGCAGCGCCGAGCGCTGCGGTCTGCACCCGCATGTTTGCTCGCTGCACTACTTGGCCTTTCTGCGGTCGAACGCGCCGAGCGTGCCCGTTTTCGCCGCGGCGCTGCAAGAAGCCGCAGAAACGTACGCGCTCCCGTTGCGCGAGAACTGCTGGTTGCGGCACGCGCCCTCGCAGTTGCGCGAGTATCTCGCGCCGGAGGGCGGCGCGACCGCAGGCGCGACCGCAGGCGCGGCGCGCTTCGACCCAGCGCGGTTCGAGTTCGGTCCGCTGCGCGCAGAGCGCGCGGCTGCGCCGCAGGAGCCTGCGGGCAGCGCGAAATAACTGATGTGTTTGCTTTAATAAGAATATTGTAGAATTTAGTTATCTGAGTGATCGCAGCGTTATGAGTGCTGCGCTGAGGCTAGAAGCCAAGTGTACGTTGCGCGCGGCACGCTGCAGTGATCTTGCTGGGTGACGCGAACGTGGGCAAGACTCACCTCATGCATCGCTTCACCGACCAAAAGCTGCCGCAGGTGCCCAGCCCCACGATCGGCATCGAGTTCCAGCCGGTTTCCGTGACCACCAAGAGCGGCGACGTCGTGAACATGGTGGTGTGGGACACAGCCGGGCAGGAACGGTTCCGATCGGTGACGAAGACGCACTACCGGCGCTCGGTGGGGTGTTTTTTGGTGTACGACATTTGCGACCGACAGAGCTACTTGAACGTGCAACAATGGCTGGACGACTTGAAGAGCGCGGCGGCGCCCGGCGTGATTGTGGCACTGCTCGGCAACAAGGTGGACCTCGTGAAGAACGGGAAACAGCGCTGCGTGACCTTTGAAGAAGCGAAGCAGTTCGCTGCGACGCACAGCCTGTACTTCTTCGAAGTCAGCGCGGTGACCGGCGAAAACGCGACCGAGGCGTTCAACTGCATGGCGGAGGCTATTGTGGTGGCTCGGAAAAAAGCTGGCGAGTCGCATAGCGGCGCAGCCACGAATTCGTACGACTATCAAATCGAAAAAAATGGATCTATCATGTTTGGCAAGCACGAAGAGCCGACCGTCACCTGTTGCGGCTACAGGTTTTAGTGGCGTTTTGCGGCGAGCGGGTGTTTTGCGCAACGCCACTATTTCTCGGAAGCGCAGGCGCGCACAGAGCATTGTCTGTAAGTTGGCGGCGCGTCGGGCGCCCCGAGCCGCGGGCGGCGCAGCACTCAGTCTACCTAAACTAAATGCGAGTGAACGAGCGTCCGCGGACGGCGGTGCTGCGCGCTCAAAACCAGCGGTACAACGTGCCGGTCGTCTCGAGCGGCGCTTGAGAGACAGCTAAGTCCGGCGTGAACTCAATCTCGTGCATGTCGCTAAATGGCGTGGCTTTGATGTTCATCGGAGAGAGTGGCTCGAGCGTCAACTGCGATGGCGACGCGAGCACGATGTTCGGCGTGAGTAGCGTCTCTTCGCCGCATACCGTCTCGGCGCTGCCGTTGACTTGCAAGTGCGGCTTCGCGTTGTGCTCTTTCAGCGAAGGCTGCGTTATACGAATGTTTAACATGCTTGATGCCGTGCTTGTTACCGCTTTTAGCGCTTCGTCGTCCCACCACTCCGTCATTCTACAATATTTTGTGACTTTTGCTGTAAATTGAGTGCATGCAGCTGGAGACCGGCTGCAAATGTTCGCGAGATTTCTCGTCCACAGCGTCGTTTAACGTGAGTACGCAACCAGCGGGCTTCTCACTCGGTCGCGAGCAGCACACGCGAGACTGGTCTGCTCACGCACCCGTTTTTGGCGGCTGCAAAGCGATCTCGACGATTGCAAGAACGTTCGGTGTTACACATTTATGCCCAGTCGCGCTGCAATTGCGACACAGTTTTGACGTCGCAGGCCAGACACTACGCGCTTCAGCCGCCAGGGTAGCAGCGCTCTGTTTGCACAGCGGCAAGTAAGAGGAGCTTGTGCTAAACTGCTTCGTGCTCTGCTCCAGTGACGTTGTCTCAGAAACTCCGGACAGGAGCGACAGGGGTCAGCATGCCTCTGTCCACACTGTACTTAAATGTTCACCGAGTTTAGAGCGCAGATACGGCGAATATAAATGCATCTAACCGAATCTAGTACTTGTGCTGCTCATCGAGCCATTACAATTGCAGACGCCTGTCCCCGATGCGCTGAGTTTAACTGTAGCATGATAATTTTTTTGCAACAACTGGAATATGGCTTTGAGTTAGTACGATATCGCGATTTCCATATCCACCGGTGCCTGCGAAGCTTTGCAGCCTCAATTCAAGATATGGCTTGGCCAGGGATGCGGTAGGATTGCTGACTTGAGTACATCTTCCGTCAATGCGCAGCTAAAAAGGCGCGCGCTCACAAGCACGATGTTTCATGCTTAACAGTACTTTAGACATGCCAGCGAAGCTATAGCTGACGCGGATGTAGAATTCGACTGTGCCGCAGAAACGGCTATCTGGACTACGCACTCACATTTGGATGATCTAGACTACTGTTTACACGTTGGATGCCGCGAAGTAATGGTAGAAAGAATACCCCATTGCGAGCTGAGCATCTGGAGCATAGAATCTGTGAAAGATGCTGCTCGAAGCTTTTAGTCCTTAGCAATGATTCAATACGATCATCATGCTGCGGCGAGTTTCTTAACAGAACGCGCGACGCTGCCTCGTAAAATAAGCCGGACATCTTATGTTGTATGTGTATACAAACGGTGGTACTTGTATGTCACAAAGAGCTGTTTGGACAGCCTAATGTAAGCCTTGATCGTGTTAACCACGCAAATTCTAACTAATGGCCTGGATTCATTAACTTCGGACGCTGAGCACTCGTTGGAGTGATCTTATGCAGCGGAAATTCAGTAGGGCAATTGTGTCACGCTTTATGTGACAGGTGCTTTGCTGATGCCGCATTGAAGCAGCGTAGAGGAAACGCAGTCGGAGTATGACGAAGCACAATCCATCAGTTTAAATGTCATCTTTTCAGAAGTTCATATCAGACTACGCAGCAGATTCACGGATAGTCTGAAGTGAAAGCTCTATCATTATAGCTACTGCACTATTTAATCTAGCGTGAGTTGATGTAGCTTAGTCTTAATAAAAGTTTCTGCAACCTAGAGTGCTACTGACCACGTTGATCATGCTAATTCTGGTAACTATTGCATACTGTTATAATGAGCACATAGAGATGCTGCAGGTGTTACGCTGCATGTTAGTATCATCACCTAGAAAACAAAGTACGACTGAATGTTGTAGGTATCCACACTAAAAATTGATGCATTTATTTGAGTAAGTACTGGGAACGCGCCGTTTTCTGGTTCTCACCGTGGAAAACGAAATCTGTAAATGACCGAAATTCTACTGTAACCGCTGGGAAGTTTTGCGAAAGAAAAGCTTTATCATCAAAGAGAACACTTTGATCTTTTATGCCATCTAGATAAGTGTATAAAACGAATGCACGTATCAGGAGAACATTATGCGAATTTGACCGCAGAAGATAAAGCAACATCGAGAAGCACGCATATTATAGTGAAATATTTTGTCCTCGCGTCGCTCTGTAAAGAAAGGGGCCGCTTCCATAGTTAAAGCTAACCGTTGTAAGGAGCTGACCCTTCGTTTACCTACTCAGTAGATTTGCTAACTTTCGCGTCGTTTCTATACACAGAATTACCAGCGGTACTAAAGTCAAAGTTTGAGCTAACTTGGAATAAGAACTTAAAGCCGTGCAGCGGTTCGAGTTAAATGCATTCACATCTTTGTTTGAAGTCACATATTCTTGAATCGAGAAGTTGTCTATACTAGTTCATTTTATGTGTATGCATTTTACGTTGTTTGAGTCAGATCCGGAATTAAGGTCGATTTCCAATTCTGAAGAATCTAGTATATCTGATTGAAGCCACGTTTTCTTCAATCCCAATACTATTATTGATGACTTCACTGCGACCAGATTTCATAATCTGACGGTAAGTTTAAAGTTTCAATCAGAATCAGAGTCCGAGTCCGAGTCCGAGTCAGAGCTGCTATCTGGATCAGATGAATTTGCAGTACTTGATACATCCATTTTTCCTTTATTCGAAGTCGTAGTCTTGCCAGTTCCGACGCCACCGCTTCTATCAACATCGGATTCTGAACATGAATCAGAATCAGAATCAGAACCAGAATCAGAATCAGAAGCGGAGTCAGAATCAGAGTCTGAGCTACTTTCAATGACAGATGAATTTGCGGTACTTGATACATCCTTTTCCTTTATTCGAAGTAGTAGTCTTGCCAGTTCCGACGCCACCGCTTCTATCAACATCGGATTCTGAATCAGAATCAGAATCAGAATCAGAATCGGAGTCAGAACTGCTAACTGAATTTGCTGAATTTTCAGTACTTGAGATGATCATGTTTCCTTTATTTGAAGTAGTAGTCGTGTTAGTTTCGACGTCACCGCTTTTAGCAATCTCGGATTCTGAACCTGAATCAGAATCAGAGCTAAAGACTGAGTCGGAGCCCGAGCTAGAGTCAGATTGACAGCGCAGACCGCTGCTGCGCGGCGCAGATGCGTTGTGCTCTTTTTCGGTGCGGTGGAATGTTTTGCTGGAAGATTTAGCGTTAGCGAGCGCCGAAGTTTCGGCGGTAGTCGTAGCTTGTGTGACGTTCAACATAGGCTCCACGTGCGAACTGAGCTGCGAATGGGGACTTATGCCTGCACTCTTGTTATACAACGACTCGGTGTCAGGAACAATGCTGGTTGGCGCGGCGAACGCGATTCGGCTTTCCGCAGGCAGTTTTTTGTCGACTTTCGTCGACGAGTTTTTTGAGTTTCGTAGCTTCTTCGCTACGCTGGCTACCGTCTGCTCTGTGCCTATTCTCTGCGAAAGCCGTTTCTTCGCCTGCTGCGAGAGGCATTGCAATCCATCCCCAGTGACAGCTTGCTTGCTGGGAGCTTGCAGCTTGCGCTCTGCGGCTGACTGGACGTTGCTGCGGCCGGTCGCATGCGCTTCACGGCGTGCAGCAACGGACGAGTTCTCTACGTTATTCGGTACTTGGCTCGGTTTCGGCTCGGCTCTCAGGTCGCTAGTTTTCAGCCGCTTAGCAGGCCGCTGCTCTGCTGTATACGGTGGGCTGACTGCGATTGGAGGCGCGATTTTGAACTTTTCGGCCTCGGTGCGGCAGGTAGTGTGATTCTTCAGAGCGGCAGCGTCGAAAACCTGGTGGCAATCCAGACAAACGAAAGAAAGGTTGCTGCCCTGGCGACATCTGTGGCCTTGCGCCTTCTTTTTAGAAACCACATCGGAACAAGCTTGGCATGAAAACGACACCATTTATGCCCGCGCAGCTAGGGAGAAAATACGAATTATCTTCGCAGAAATTTCTTCTTGTTATAATCGTCGTTAAGCCCACAATCTCGCTGGTGCGTCTCTTTGCCTCTGTATTGTTTGTTTTCCACCGCCTGTAGTCGCGCTTCGAGTTTGACAATGTAGGCGAGCAGGGGCCTATTGAGCGTGTTCAAAACTTACTTGATTTGCGCTTCCACGAGAGCATTCTTCGCTTTGCTTTGGTGGTTGCGCAGTTCGAGCTGCGAAACGCGCGTCGAGAGAATAGCCTGGCCGAGCCGCTCGTTCTCCGCGATTAGCGCGCGACACTTCCGGAGGATCCGCACGGAGAGTGCGCTGCGTCGCGACGACGCTTACTTACGAGTCGCTGTTGAGCGCCTGCACATTCAGTTCTTCTTTCACCCCCTGCAGTGCTGACTCGGCTTGGTGAAGCCGAACTTTGAGCTCTGTGATCTCTTCAGTGAGCAGCGGGTCGAGCTGCCACTCGAGAGTGCTAGCTTCGCCGCGTTCCTGAAGCTTCTGAGCAAGGATTTCGTTGCAGTGCTCCAGCTCGGCCACTTTGCAGCGAAGTTCAAGTTTTTCGACGTCGAAGTCAGACTTCATGGCTGCTCATTGGAACTGCTGCGCGGGCTAAAGAATTTCGAATTACGTAAATATACTCACAATTCTTTGCTGTCGGCGAGGAACTTGTACACTGCGCTGACAAGTATGTAGTGCAGGAGCGCGAGCAATTTTGTGCGGGGCGTCTTAGAATCCGCGCAGACGTGCGCGATTCGCGCCTCATTTGCTGCAAGCTCTTGTGTCTGTCTCTCCATTTCTTCTTTCCAGTGTGCGAGCGCCTCTGCGGCAGCTGTGGCGACAGCGGCGCCGTGCTGCTGCCAGAGCTGTGTATGAGAGCGGACGTCAGGGGTTGTCGCGCGCAGAGTCGCTGCAAAACGCTCGCAAGCAAATGCGGACGCGCGGAACGCTTTCAAATGTTCTGCGAAGTCCGTTGCCACTTTGGCGCGCGAAATAGCGAGCATGTTTTTGTACTGTTCGCAATTTATTTCAAAGGATGCTTTTAGCAGCTCGGTCGTAGCCTCGAGCACCGTCTTGTTGTCAGGCAACGACTCGTTCATCGATCTAGCTAGGCTACTGATTGCATACACGGGTGGCGGCGGTTCTGGCAGCGCGGGTTGCGCTATGCTTCGGTTCGAGATCTGCACACATTGGCGCGTAGCTCGGCTATGCCGCTCGAGCTCGTGTGTGAGCCGCCGCATAAGTAGCAGTGCTTGGCTGCCGAAGTGGCACGGCTGCAGCAAC